TCTTTTTTTTGACACATTCAGGCATTTCCCCTAGAAACTATTTTGGTTTTTATTGTAATGTTTTTACCTTGGTGAACAAGTTTCCATTAGGGGCCACAACTGTCACAAGTAAATGACATCACATTTACTTTCTGTCACAGCAATTTTAACAAGCTGCACATGGATCATTCAAACTACAGACTGCATATGATCCGGCTGTGTGGCACATAATGTAGCTACCATATATCAGGCAGCTGTCAAAAGAAAACATTCCACCCCTGCGTCGGAGAGTATATCACCGAGCCGTCCACCAGCTGGCCGACTGACTGGTCTGTCAGGGCTGCTGTGAGTTTTAGCTGACTCACAGAAACTTTTCCTGCTGATGGGGCAGAACAACAATTCAACAGCAGAGAGGTGTCAATAACATCAGGAGCAGGTAGCAGCAGCAGCAGCAGCAGCAGCAGCAGCACCCTGCCTTCACTGATGGCTCTAGACCAATTTGCTGTGTGGGCCAGGATGTGACATTCACTTCTGCTAATCTAAGATTTTGTATTTTGCCTGCTTTGTTTCAGTGGAGGAGGCTCTCTATGCATAGTTCCTGGAAAGATGTACCTTATTAGGTCATATTGATATAATGATATAGTTCATTTCCTGAAAGTTTAAATCAGAAAAGGGTTTATAGGTTTTACATTTTTTACAGTTTTTGTCCGATCCAGTAAATTAAACACTTAATAAAACTAAATTGAGGTAACTCATCACTTGTAGCAGAATCTCTGGTTCACACATGTTGATCCACCCCAAGCTGTACACGATAATTTTATGCTGAAAGTTTCCCCATTTCCCTCGTTACAATTTTCTTTTTCACACACGGGAACAGGAACACAAATATAGTAACTCTTCGATCGACTGGCTCTTAATCTAACTTGGCCCAGAGTAGATCCACGAGCAACAAGAAGAAGGAAAGAGAGCAAGGAGAAGGGAAGGAGAAAAGGAGTTTCGCATTGTGTGTTTACTGTTCTTCAGCCTGAGAGAAAACACCATGACTCAAACTGATGGGAGGACAACAACGTTGGCATCATTAAATTGAGAAACAGGTAGTAATAGAAACCCACTGGGTGCTGTTTGTGTGTGTTTCTGTATATACACTCTTGTATCTGCGGGCGAAGAGAAGATGATACTGGATACTGTGCAACCTCAAAAACAGAACAGCTTGCTGATCTTTACTGTTATTCTTTGAAATAGTTCATTTAAATCCCCTTGGATATCATGCAGACTCAACAACTTTTCATGGTCTATTCCCCACCGCAGAGAGAGAAAACACAGTCTGCACTGAGAGAGATGGGAATATAAATACGATTTTACAGGTCACTTTAATATTGAAAATGTTTCAGTTACTCTATGTGGTGTTAATTTCCACCGACTAAAATCCCACCAGAATGAGTATACAGTCTGATGCAGTTCAGCCAGAAATGTACAGTGGTGTCTCAACGGACAAGAATCAAATCATATCTTTTATTCCATTATTTAAAGCAAAAATCTGAGTTTCTGTGGATGAGTGAGCTTCTCGTTCATCGTGTCCCAAATCCATGCTACTTTTTAGGTATGATAGAGTGAAGAATAGTAAAAACAGTAAGAATGCCGACTAAAAAGCCTTTGATTTTTTAGTGTGCTGTTTAAGACACTAGTGTCGCACAGTGCAATGCACAAAGGAAATGGAGGAGCTGCTCATAACTGCAGAAAGGTTGAAAGCCTCCAACAACAAGTCAGGTTGCAGTTTACATTCATGTCTGTCCAGATTCATGGAAGTTATCACTATAGTGACGGCACATATGTATGATTTCAGTGAATATACATGTTTGAACTGATTAATAAAGGATTATCATAGGTGTATCATTGACAGGTGTAGTGATTCTGTGTTGTGCCTTCCTGGATTTTTTTCGCACACAGATGTCCATTAGGGTTTTGGACCACCGTATATTAGCTCTCATTCTTGTTTTTGTTCTTTTCATGATAAGATAGCTAGTTAACTAGGTATGAAGACAATGTCTCCATTCCTGCCTACTAAGCTCTGACTGGTCAAGTGTTTCTCCAATCAGAGGAAACAGCCTTCAAACACCAGACTTATTTGTATTGCTGAACAAATCTTAGCTCGATTTAACCTCCTCTGAATCACCACCCACATCTAACAGCCAAAAAGTCATTATCATTTTTGTTAATACTGTGCTTTGGTGGTGAATATTTCCATATTTCCTGCAAATCAAATTATCCCAAACAAATTATCACACAGTAAATGTCGGGCATTTGCCCTCTTTGTGAGTTGGTTGTCCGTTCTTTCAGGAATTATCTCAGAGCTGCTGAAATAAATTTTTCTTTACGATGTATGTATAGTCCAAAAATTCCTGAAGAAATTCTATTCCTAACACTTAACAGTGCCTTAATTTACTAAGGATGTACATAATTATAGCTGATGGGTTTCCCCCCTGTGGGCCATGAGCACAGCTCTTATATAGTTAATGGAAAAGGACAGCGTGCTATGAGGAGGCTTTGTGAGCGGCTGTGAATGTTCTTGAGCCAAACAAGACGAAGCTTTGTGTGTGACTTGTTTCCAAGTGGCTGTGCCGTCTAATTAACTAACGGGTTGATTTGTATCACGCAGCTATTTGTGTCTGAAAGCAGGCTGGTTTGGGAAACACAGTTATGAACACGTACATGCACACAATATTACCTTCAATGATCAAGAAAATGTAGGTGTATTTCAGAGGCACTGTGATAAAGCCTAAAATATTATCTGTGATAGAAACACAGCAGTTCTACGACCTTGTCTTCCTGTCTGGCTGAGATTCTGCTGCATGCCTCCCTGTCTGCTTGTTTCCCCACCCTAACAGTTTTTTCTCATTTTCTTTCTTGCTTTTTCCATTTGCCTTCCTGCCTGCAGACCTGCTTGTCTGCTACTTTACCCACAGCACAAAGCCTGTAATATCAACTACTGATCATAGACGAGTGTACAACTGAACAAACACACTGCTACAGTTACTAAGCTCACAATCTCTCATCCATTGAAAACGCACATGCAAAACCAGCATTTTCAGTACCATTGTCTTTGTTTAATGCTTTGGTCTTTAATTATAAACATCTACTCTTATTTAATCACCTTTTTATTTAGATTGGAAGGACAGAAAACAAAGATGGACATCATCGAGACAAAAGTTCAATTTATATCAGACAGATATGCCAACCAGTCCTCCTCATCTTAGCCTCAGGTGCAGAAACCTGGACGCAGGGTCAATAAGGAGAGAAATTATTTTATGTATGAACCTTTTTAAATGTTCTAAAACCCCTCTAGGTTATATGTGCCCATTTCTGTGTGTGAATCTGTCTCATTTCAGTTCAACTGCTAAAATATTACTGAGGACTTTTCTGAGTTTGATGAGGCACGATGGAAGAGGAAGTAGGGCACACCTGAAATAGATGTACCAGGTGTGCTGGGGACAGAGCGAAGACAAGAAAGTGAGGATAGAGGAGAAAATGAGGGAGAGAAAGAGACCTTGTAACAGCTGACAAAGTCACTTGGGGATGAAGGTGGTGTTGAGGGGGATGAAAGAGAGATTTCCCTCCTCTGCTTTACACATCTGTGGAAAGCTGCTAATGAGGCAATTAATTACAGCACAAATTAAGCTAAATAATGCCATAATTAACTAGTATTGTTATATTGCGTTACTAGCTTATTGGGTACACGTGTAAAATCTAAATTATTCTCACACAATATAATAAATCCCAACTTTACGAGGCTAATATAGATCAGCTATATCACCATAGGTGGGACACGTGGGAACACCTGGTGAGCCAGTATCAGGTTTCTGACTAATTATTAAGATTCTCTTGTGTGTTCAGGCAGATCGTGAAGCTAATTTTTGCATATATATATAGTCAATGATTAGATGCAAACTCGCCCAGTAAAAAGGTCATGCATCCAATATGCAACTTCACCTCAACTTGCAGACACACTTCTGTTTCTAGCTAGCGTACAACTAACGTCTGGTACACTGGCTGTTTGGATGATATTTGCTGTCTGAACATACCTTTATGGTTATTTAATTCTTCTTTGATCAGATATTTCCTGATCTAAATCAAGAAACATTAGACTAGTTATTAGTTGTTTTAGTAAAGTTCTTTGTTGTCAAGACCCAGACTAAGAATTTGTTATGGTACTGCAATTCAGATATCATACTCACCCTAAAGACAAAACAATGTTACACATACTGGGTACCACAGTTATAACACACAACTCTAAAGACTTGAGCCTTGAAAATGTCCCTGAAATCAGAAATATCGAGTAATATCAAGTTAAAAGCCTTACAAACCGCTTCCGAAAATACTGTTTTACATTTATTTATTATTTATTAACACAGCAGAGAGTGCATTATCTCTGCCTATTATCTAAGCAGAGGGCTGAACACAAAATCGATCTCTATTATTTGCAAGAGAGCGGAGGAGGGAGACAGCTAGTGCTTCCTGCGCGTACCTGATTTGCAGCACAGAGCCAGAAGCTTGGCTGCTTGACTGAGAATATAAATGAAAAGCTCAGTGACTCATGGTTGTGATTCAGCTATAACAGGTGAATACGTAATATGATGCAATTAAAGCTCAGGATATAAAAGCCTGATTAGTGCAGCCATCATAGGCATGTGTCCTTCCACATAATCTCCATCCATTGTATTGACTAATTTCCAGACATTATAAAGAAACTCACCCAGAAGTTGTTCTGAAAGAAGGCCATCTTCACTCAGAGGTTCACAGCAATCTGTAAAGGAGGTGGAGAAAAAGAAATAGAGCTGCATTAGAGGAGAAGGTGGCATTAAGACTTTTCTTTTTTCATCGGCCTGACCTCCATTTTCTTCAAAACACAGTCTAAGTGCTTTGCGAGAATGATCCTTGTAACAATGTGTAAAAAGGTTCAGCCTTTTCTCTGCCTGCTGACAATAAACTGCAGTTTTAAAGTCTTGGCAAATTGCACAAAAACAACCTTCCAGAAAGTCCTGACTTGATAAAAACTCCTGAGACACCTTCAGTGTAGGAAGGGGGGTCCTGAGGGAGAACCGAGGAGAGCTTAACAAATGACTTCAAAGGATAAACTCAGAGGATGGAGGTAGCTGAGGAAGGAAGCAGGGAGGAGGAGTGACAGGAGAGATGGGGGAGGAGAGTGAGGGAATACAGGGGGGATGAGATAAATCAATGGAGGGAAGGAGGCAGAAGAGACGGAGGCAGCCTCAAAGGATATGATCACAGCTTGTGAAACTGTTAGCTTGCCATGCTCGGCTCTGATTGGTTGGTAGTTTTGGGAAATATGCTTATTCGCTTACCAAGATTTAGACTGATAGCAGTCGATATGATGCTACCATCAGCAGCTGGTTAGTTTAGCTTAGCACAAACACTGGAAACAAGGAGAAACAGCTAGCCTATTTATTAAGCATATCTCCCAAAATGTCAAGTATTATTATACAAGTATTATGTGGCAGGCTGTGAAGTCCTCGTTTTATCCTCTGATACAAAACAATTACTGCTGTGGTGTTCTGGCACAGGGAGGGGGATGATCTTACAATGGTGGTTCAAACACATACATTTGTATGCATATTGTTCTCCATTAATAAAAAAACAACAACCTTGAAATGAGGTGTTTTGGACAGAAACTACAGGAATCATCTTTTATGATCCATCCATTAGTGGAATAGAACTGGAAGTCTATTATACTAACAATATAATAAACTAACAGAAGATACATTTATTAGTACAGTACATTTATTGTAGATATGCATGCTTTACTTTTACACAACACATTACACAACAAGCAATAAGCCATCGGACATCATTTTGTTATGTAGGACAGGGGTTCCCAAACTTTTTCCATGTCAAGGACCCCCACAAAAGATGCAAGATGAAACCCTCTTTACTTTTAGATTTAAAAAGTAAAAAAAAGTCTTTATAGTCAATCAATGATCAAGCTGGGATCACTTTAAACCACAACCAATAAACCCGTCCAACCCCATTTCTTCCCTTGTTGTCCCAGCTTTCCTTTTGCTGACCTGACTTTGTCCACGGACCCCAGTTTGAAAACTACTGATGTAGGACATAATGTTGAATTATATTAATCTCCTTTTTCACTTTTAAAAATGAATCAAAAGTCTGATTCTAACCTACAAAGTCACAAAAGCTTGTGAGGAAGAAGTAATGAAACCATTAAATCTTATATGGTCATGACCGCAGCGTTTTCATGAATGAGACACTTTTTAATTGGCTGATGGCAGGAGGGAATACACTGCATTCATCTTCTGAACCCCTAGTCACACACACACACACACATACACACACACGCAAAAGCACAGGAATTTGGCCTTTTTAAGAGAATCCATAATGTGAAAGTGTTTCCCTCAGGGCTGCCCTCATACGGGGTTCCTGTTATCGGTTATTCTGCTGACTCTGTGTGTGTGTGCTGACAACAGCCCTTTTCTTGTATTGGCACAGACTCAGGCCTGGTGACCTGGCATCAGGCATGCAGCAATACACAGAAACAAACACAGCAAGACCGACTGTACACACACACATACATACACGCACACACCTACAAACACACACTCACACCTTGTTAATTAGCTCAGCAGTGGGACTGGAGGCCCCTGCAGACAGCGTTCTGTTTGGCAGAGAGGGTTAGTCCAGCACAGAAGGGAGAAAGATACCGAAAGACACAAATATTATCGTTGAGCATAGCTAGGGGATAATTCAATATTAACCTTTATTGATTTTCAGTGGGATGGCAGAGTGACAAAAATATATCCTATTATGGTTTTTCAAATGAATGCTTGCAATTTCTGTGCACCACAAGAACATGATATGTATTTTATAGACAAATATAAGAAATTATAGGCAATATTTAAAAAAAAAAAAAGTATCTTAAATAGCAGCACATGATATTTAATTGCTTGTTTTGGATTATTTCTGAATCTCAAGTTCTGATTAATTCAGTGTTACTACAAAAATATTCTTGACCTCTGGACTACAGGCTGATTAATTAGTTGCACTTCTGGTTATATCACTGGTTATTGTAGCTATTCTCAGTTTAATCACACAGGATTTTGTGAAAAGTGATATGAGTTAACTGTAAGAAATTCATTATGTCAGTAATTCAATAAATTAAATGTATTCAAACGTAATATTTATACAAACTGTTCGTGATATTTTGAAATTAATCATTGTTATTTCAGAAGATTTGAATTAAATATTCTCAAAATAACATTTCGGTTAAACAAACACTGCAACAGCAGCCTGAATGAACAGTTAGAGACAGTTTACATTATTCTCAACAGTCTTTACTTAACAATAAACTCTAATGTGCAGCGTTTCATACCAGAACAAGACTAATGCTTTGTCTTTATATCACTATAACCAAATATATGATGATTGATCATAATAGTCATATTAATTCTATATATTGTCAAACTTTCTAGAAAAACCAAACAAACAAATAATTAAATAAACAGTCATCAGTAAGGTGAGATTTGGTGAGATTTTCATGGCAAAATACTCATGCAGGGGGACATTGATCTTGACAAACCACCAGATGGTTTTCAGGGGAGCAGAAAGAGGGGACAGAGGAAGGATACCAGATAAAAATCAGACACATTGTGACGGTGAGGGGAAACAGAAGCTACTTGTTTTCTTCTTGTGACAGTCTGGTGCGCCATATTGAAACACACTGTAGATCTGAGGTAATTAGCCATTTTGTTTTAGTCCTCACGGTTCTGACGCAGCACGATCCAGAAACACAAAGACAGAGAGAGGTGTACCCTGGGACCCCATGTGTACACCAGCCACGGTGGGATGTATAGAAGTAGCTGACATCCAGCATTCTCCATCTGGTTCCAACTAAATGTTCAGCTGAAATCAGCTCAGAGGCAAACAAAGCCCCCAGAGAAGAAGTGGGACACACTGTGACCTTGATTCCTCATGCTCAAGATCATTTTTTATTCAGAAATTAAATGCCTGCGCAGGTTTTGATCTTGCTGCTTGTGTCCCTGTGCACATACAGTTTAACCACAGCAGCAAATCTCAATCTACAGCATCCACAAATACTAAACTGATACACATTTTGAGTTGCTTTAGTGCACTGAGGCTGCTATAAAACACAGGAATTATAGATGCAGTTTAAATATTGGAGACTGATATATTATTCTCAGAAAATGAGAAGATTAAATTGTTGTCATTGTTCAAATGATGGAATTTCAGCCCAATAACGAGGAACCTTTTCTCACAATAGCTGCAGGTCTTCTTGTGAGTGAAAATGAACACTGCAAGTGTTATCATGTCACAAGCAGGCAGATAAATTTATATTAGTTTCAATGCAGCGTATCAGCACTGTAAGGGAGACAAAGTACAATGTCAGATAAAAATGCCATATGTTGTGTCAACTATGACCTGTCTTCAAAAGACTATAACTCTCGTAGTGTGTAGGAGTGTTGGATTCTCCTACAAACTTTGACGAACTTGGTGAACCCATATCCTTCTGGTTTTCATTTTGGTTTTCAGTAACAGGTCATTAATATACATTTTCCTGTTAGGCTGCAGACACATCTGGAGCGGGCAGCCACTGTTTACACAATGTCATCAATGTGTGTGTGTTGTTGTGTGTGTAGTATTTATGCTCGTTGAAGCTATTGTTCTCGATGTGGATAGCCCTTCAAGCCTGAATTCGATCACAAATTCAGTTTCTCTCTAAATCAATAAATTACAGCTAATAGGATGTTACCATGGAGTCTTGAGAAAAGGCAACACAATTGTTTTGAAGTCAATCGTCTGGTCATCAATGCAGAGCTAAACAGGGACCAGTGAGGAACAAACTCTGCACAGAGCTCTACGTCTGTAACAGTCGATCTAAATTGATTGCCTTTTTTATTATCTTTTAAATAGTAGAGGTGCACGTTTTATGACAACAAGATATGTGGCCAAATGTAAAATCAGTAGAGGCCAAGATATACTGACTTCTCAGTATTCTCATGCAGTAAATCCAGGGAACATTAAGCTGCTTTAGAAGATGGAAAATTGGTCAGAGAATAGAACAACTGTTTTCAGGCCTTCTTAGGCAGAGCAAGAAGCAAGGAGAAGGTAAATTAAATACCTTTATTTATTCTGGTATATCATTCAGGGCGTGAATAACAAACAACAGAGATTAGGGCTAAATGCTAACATCAGCATGCAAACGTGTTCACACTGACAAAGCCATCAGGCTGATGTTTAGCAGGTATGATGTTCACTAAGTTGGTCGCTCTAGTTTAGCATATTAGTGTGCTAACTTTTGCAAGTTAGTACCAAATTAGTACCGAAGTACAGTTTAGGAATGTGATTAGTTTAGTGCTCAAGGAAAGGTTAGAGGACAAAATTGTACCAAGTGTCAAGGCTATTAATTCAATAGTTCAGTCTGGAATAAAGTGGTTGAATGACAGATCAACACTGCCATCTCTACACCATGGATAAAAACAATAAAAAAATGTCTCTTTGTTTTATAAACAATTATTTTGACTCCTGTTTCCCATTAAATCCAAGAAAAATGTAAAATGGCAGTTATCTATGTCTTGTAATCCCTGCCAATCTGTTTGCATTTAATCCCGCTTGATCAACCCTTGGTTTTGTTTGTTAGCTGATTATCTGACAGGTCAAAGTGTTACACAAGCAGACAGACGAGAATAGAGAGAGAGCGAGGAGAGACAGCGCCGCAGTACTGTCACAAAGATAAAGTGTTAAATAAAGAAACAC